TATAGTGTAGTATGTTGCAGTGTATAGTAGTGTAGTGTATAGTGTAGTATGTTGCAGTGTATAGTAGTGTAGTGTATAGTGTAGTATATTGCAGTGTATAGTAGTGTATAGTGTAGTATATTGCAGTGTATAGTAGTGTAGTGTATAGTGTAGTATGTTGCAGTGTATAGTAGCGTAGTGTATAGTGTAGTATGTTGCAGTGTATAGTAGCGTAGTGTATAGTGTAGTATATAGCAGTGTATAGTAGTGTAGTGTATAGTGTAGTATACTGCGTGCGTGACGTTGTGCATCGCGTGCGATGTCGCTGGCTGGCGGCGTGTGACTTGTCACGCGTGTGCACGTGCGCCTCGCTGCCCCGCCTGCTTTTGGTGTTTGTGCAACAACCAGAACCACCCCATGAGCGTCAGAGCCAGGGGGTCGGCCGCAGATCCATTTCAGCTGAGGTCAGTCGAGTTCCCAAGCGGCCGGCCGTGTGTGTTTTCCGTCCACAAACTATCCCCACGTGTAGCCTGCAGCAGACTGCCTTGGGCAAGCGCTGTTAGCGAGCACCTACGAAGTCCGGCGCGCGAGGGGGGGTGGGTGTCCAGCGCCACGCCCGACCGCCCCTTCGTCTCCCCCGGTGGCGACGTTCTAACTTCGCACAGCGACACCAGGTGGCTCATTCGAGGCCGAGTCGACCCAGGCGGGAAAGGCCCAGCACCGGCTTCAGATAATCGCCGTCGCCGGTTTCTGTTGGTGCCCGTGAGCGGGGTTGCGAACTCGGCTCGCCCGGGGGGTTCGAGGTGCGGCGAGGTCGCCGCCACACCGGGCAGGCGCACCGCATGCACATCACCCATGCGGTGCGGTGCGGTGCGTACGCAGCGAGTGGGAGACGGAGAGGGGGGAGCCACAGATTGACGGACCAGTTGCGTGGCACCGTACGTCGTCAGCTGTATCCTCATCGGAGGTGCGGGGGAGCTCGACGCGAAAATAAGCAGTGTAGTGGTGTAGTTTATAATAGTGTAGTAATGTGTAGTGTATAGTGTAGTGTATAGTAGTGTAGTGTATAGTGTAGTGTATAGTGTAGTGTATAGTGTAGTGTATAGTAGTGTAGTGTATAGTGTAGTGTATAGTAGTGTAGTGTATAGTGTAGTATAGTGTAGTGTATAGTAGTGTAGTGTATAGTAGTGTAGTGTATAGTGTAGTATAGTGTAGTGTATAGTAGTGTAGTGTATAGTAGTGTAGTGTATAGTATAGTGTAGTGTATAGTGGTGTATAGTGTAGTGTATAGTGTAGTGTATAGTAGTGTAGTGTATAGTGTAGTATAGTGTAGTGTATAGTAGTGTAGTGTATAGTGTAGTGTATAGTAGTGTAGTGTGTAGTGTATAGTAGTGTAGTGTATAGTGTAGTATAGTGTATAGTAGTGTAGTGTATAGTGTAGTATAGTGCAGTGTATAGTAGTGTAGTGTATAGTGTAGTGTATAGTGTAGTATGTTGCAGTGTATAGTAGTGTAGTGTATAGTGTAGTATATTGCAGTGTATAGTAGTGTAGTGTATAGTGTAGTATATTGCAGTGTATAGTAGTGTATAGTGTAGTATGTTGCAGTGTTTAGTAGCGTAGTGTATAGTGTAGTATATTGCAGTGTATGGTAGTGTAGTGTATAGTGTAGTATGTTGCAGTGTATGGTAGTGTAGTGTATAGTGTAGTATGTTGCAGTGTATAGTAGTGTAGTGTATAGTGTAGTATATAGCAGTGTATAGTGTAGTATGTTGCAGTGTATAGTAGTGTAGTGTATAGTGTAGTATGTTGCAGTGTATAGTAGTGTAGTGTATAGTGTAGTATAGTGCAGTGTATAGTAGTGTAGTGTATAGTGTAGTATATTGCAGTGTATAGTAGTGTAGTGTATAGTGTAGTATGTTGCAGTGTATAGTAGTGTAGTGTATATTGTAGTATATTGCAGTGTATAGTAGTGTAGTGTATAGTGTAGTATATTGCAGTGTATAGTGTAGTATATTGCAGTGTATCGTAGTGTATAGTGGAGTGTATAGCAGTGTAGTATATAGTGTAGTGTATAGCAGTGTAGTATATAGCGTAGTGTATAGCGGTGTAGTGTATAGTGTAGTGTATAGCGGTGTAGTGTATAGTGGGCATTGTGTATATTGTGGTATGTATGTGTGTGTGGTTGAACTTATTTCGCACTGTACGTAGTCAACCATGCTGCTGATCAAAGGTGCGTGGGCAAGGACAAAAAAAACTAAACACAACTAGAAGCAGTTATTCTAAAGAAATTAGTTTGTCAATCTGGATGATGATGATTTCAAGGTGCAGTGTAGCTCCCAGTGGGGGGACTCCTCATATCGGAAATGAAGAGCGTTCCAGACGGCCACTGAAGCAGCACGTTGACGATGATGGTGACGATGATGGTGACGATGTTGGTGACGATGATGGTGACGATGATGGTGACGATGTTGGTGACGATGTTGGTGACGATGATGGTGACGATGTTGGTGACGGTGATGGTGACGATGATGGTGACGGTGATGGTGACGATGTTGGTGACGATGATGGTGACGATGATGGTGACGATGTTGGTGACGATGTTGGTGACGATGATGGTGACGATGATGGTGACGATGATGGTGACGATGTTGGTGACGGTGTTGGTGACGATGATGGTGACGATGTTGGTGACGGTGTTGGTGACGATGATGGTGACGATGATGGTGACGATGTTGGTGACGGTGATGGTGACGGTGATGGTGACGATGTTGGTGACGATGATGGTGACGATGATGGTGACGATGTTGGTGACGATGTTGGTGACGATGTTGGTGACGATGATGGTGACGATGATGGTGACGATGATGGTGACGATGTTGGTGACGGTGTTGGTGACGATGATGGTGACGATGTTGGTGACGATGATTGTGACGATGATGGTGACGATGTTGGTGACGATGATGGTGACGGTGTTGGTGACGATGATGGTGACGATGATGGTGACGATGTTGGTGACGATGTTGGTGACGATGTTGGTGACGATGTTGGTGACAGTGTTGGTGACGATGATGGTGACGATGATGGTGACGATGTTGATGACGGTGATGGTGACGGTGATGGTGACGATGATGGTGACGATGATGGTGACGGTGATGGTGACGGTGTTGGTGACGATGATGGTGACGATGTTGGTGACGATGATGGTGACGATGATGGTGACGATGATGGTGACGATGTTGGTGACGGTGACGGTGTTGGTGACGATGTTGGTGACGGTGTTGGTGACGGTGTTGGTGACGATGATGGTGACGATGATGGTGACGATGATGGTGACGATGTTGGTGACGATGTTGGTGACGATGATGGTGACGATGATGGTGACGGTGATGGTGGCGGTGATGGTGACGATGATGGTGACGATGATGGTGACGATGGTGACGATGTTGGTGACGATGTTGGTGACGATGATGGTGACGATGTTGGTGACGATGATGGTGACGATGATGGTGACGATGATGGTGACGATGTTGGTGACGATGATGATGGTGACGATGATGATGGTGACGATGATGGTGACGGTGACGGTGATGGTGACGATGTTGGTGACGATGTTGGTGACGATGTTGGTGACGATGTTGGTGACGATGTTGATGACGATGTTGATGATCGTGGTGGTGACGATGATGATGATCGTGATGGTGATGATGGTGACGATCGTGATGATGATGGTGAAGACGACGATGATGGTGACGATAATGGTCACGATGATGATGACGATCATTGTGATGATGATGATGACGATCATTGTGATGATGATTATGATGATGGTGACAGTGATGGTGGTGTGATGGTGACGATGATGACGGTGCTGATGACGATGATGGCGACGATTGTGATGATGATGATGATGGCCGAAGGTTTTAAGCTCCTAGACGAGGTCAGCGGGGGTAGCTATCGTGGCTCGTTCGTGCGGGGTTTGAATGCAACTTTGTTCGTGACTGAGCGCGACCGTGTGACACTGCATTCCCCTCGGTTGCAACAGCGGGACAGCGGGGTCCCCCGGTGACCCCAACGGAGCGTCGCTCAACGCTTGCAGCCTTTGTCCTGCCGTGACTTTCTCTCTCTCTCTCTCATCATCACGGTGGCTAGGAGATGTTAACTACCTCGCCTGGTCTACAGGAGGTCTATGTGTAGTCTGTGTCTCTCTCTCATCATCATCACGGTGGCTATGAGATGTTAACTACCTCGTCCTGGTATACAGGATGTCGTGGGTTCCATCCCGACCCCTGACGATGCCTGCTGCTGCTGTATATGTGGAGTTTGTGTGTTTCATCATCACGGTGGCTAGGAGATGTTAACTACCTCATACTGGTATACAGGAGGTCTATGTGGAGTCTGCGTCTCTCTCTCATCATCACGGTGGCTAGGAGATGTTAACTACCTCGCCTGGTATGCAGGAGGTCGTGGGTTCCATCCCAACCCTGACGATGCCTGCTGCTGCTGTATATGTGGAGTTTGTGTGTCTCTCATCATCACGGTGGCTATGAGATGTTAACTACCTCGTCCTGGTGTGCAGGAGGGTTGTGGGTTTAACCCCGACCCTGATGCCTGCTGTTGTATATTTTGAGTCTGTGTCTCTCTCTCTCATCATCATCATCACGGTGGCTAGGAGATGTTAACTACCTCGTCCTGGTGTTCAGGATGGTTGTGGGTTCGACCCTGATGCCTGCTGTTGTATATTTGGAGTCTGTGTCTCTCATCATCATCATCACGGTGGCTAGGAGACGTTAACTACCTCGTCCTGGTGTGCAGGAGGGTTGTGGGTTTGACCCCGACCCTGATGCCTGCTGTTGTATATTTGGAGTCTCTGTCTCTCTCTCTCTCCCAATTACGTTTCGCAAACTGTCAAAGAGTTCGGGTTGCGCCAATAATATTTCGCAATGGCAATAATAATTCCTGTCCCCTGCCTGCCTCCTGCCATCCCCTCCCTTCCCCTCCCCGCCCTCCCCACCTTGTGCAGGCTACCCGCGGATCAGCGGCGTGGCTACAGGAACGTGCTGGATGCGCTGTTCCGTATCGTGCGCGAGGAGGGGGTCCTCACGCTGTGGAGGGTTCGTAACCACCTCCACCGCCACCGCCACCCTTCACCGCCATCACCAAATACAACGATCCCCCGTGTAGCCTCAACAGACCGTTCGGGGCAAGTGCTGTTGGCGAGCAACGATGAAGGCTGGCACTGTGACGCACGAGGGGGTGGGTGGCCAGCAGCACGCCCGTCCGCCTTTGTCTCCCCCTCATTTGAGTCTTGAGTCGACCTAGGGAAGGCCCAGGGACGGTCCCAGATAATCGTCACCGGTGTTGGGCGTGAGCGTGAATCGAACTCGGGACGCTGGGTTCGTAGGGCAGCGCGCTAGTCACGACACTACCGCTCCCCACACCACTGCTGTCTGTGTTCAGTTTGTTGTCCTTCCACCCCCCCGCGCTACATACGGTGCTTAAGAAGTCCAGCACACGTAGACTCACACAGAGACCCATAGCCTCTCACATACACCCATAGACTCACACAGAGACCCGTAGACTCACACAGAGACCCATAGACTCACACAGAGACCCATAGCCTCTCGCATACACACATAGACTCACACAGAGACCCGTAGACTCACACAGAGACCCATAGACTCACATAGAGACCCATAGACTCGCACAGAGACCCATAAACTCACACAAAAACCCATAGACTCACACAGAGACCCATAGACTCACACAGAGATCCATAGACTCACACAGAGACCCATAGACTCGCACAGAGACCCATAGCCTCTCACATACACACAGACTCACGCAGAGACCCATAGCCTCTCACATACACCCATAGACTCACACAGAGACCCATATACTCACACAGAGACCCATAGACTCACACAGAGACCCATAGACTCACACAGAGACCCATAGCCCCTCACGTACACACATAGACTCACACAGAGACCCATAGACTAACACATACACCCATAGACTCACACAGAGACCCATAGACTCACACAGAGACCCGTAGCCTCTCACATACACACATAGACTCACACAGAGACCCGTAGACTCACACAGAGACCCATAGACTCACATAGAGACCCATAGACTCGCACAGAGACCCATAGACTCACACAGAGACCCATAGACTCACACAGAGACCCATAGACTCACACAGAGACCCATAGACTCACACAGAGACCCATAGCCTCTCACATACACCCATAGACTCACACAGAGACCCATAGACTCACACAGAGACCCATAGACTCGCACAGAGACCCATAGACTCACACAGAGACCCATAGACTCACACAGAGACCCAAAGACTCATACAGAGACCCATAGACTCACACAGAGTCCCATAGCCTCTCACATACACACATAGACTCACACAGAGACCCATAGACTAACACATACACCCATAGACTCACACAGAGACCCATAGACTCACACAGAGACCCATAGACTCACACAGAGACCCATAGACTCACACAGAGACCCATAGCGTCTCACATACACACATAGACTCACACAGATACCCATAGACTAACACATACACCCATAGACTCACACAGAGACCCATAGACTCACACAGAGACCCATAGCCTCTCACATACACACATAGACTCACACAGAGACCCATAGACTAACACATACACCCATAGACTCACACAGAGACCCATAGACTCACACAGAGACCCGTAGACTCACATAGAGACCCATAGACTCACACAGAGACCCATGGCCTCTCGCATACACAAATAGACTCACACAGAGACCCATAGACTCACACAGAGACCCATAGACTCAAACAGAGACCCATAGACTCACACAGAGACCCATAGACTCTCACATACACCCATAGACTCACTCAGAGACCCATAGACTCACACAGCAGAGACCCATAGACTCACACAGAGACCCATAGACTCACACAGAGACCCATAGTCTCTCACATACACACATAGACTCACACAGAGACCCATAGACTAACACATACACCCATAGACTCACACAGAGACCCATAGACTCACACAGAGACCATAAACTCACACAGAGACCCATAGACTCACACAGAGATCCATAGCCTCTCACATACACACATAGACTCACACAGAGAACCATAGACTCACACAAAGAACCATAGACTCACACAGAGACCCATAGACTCACACAGAGACCCATAGCCTCTCACATACACACATACACTCACACAGAGACCCATAGACTCACACAGAGACCCATAGACTCACACATTCACACATAGACTCACACAGAGACCCACAGATTCAAACAGAGACTCTTAGACTCACTCAGAGGCCCATAGACTCACACAGAGACCCATAGATCCACACAGAGACCCATAGACTCACACAGAGACCCATAGCCTCACACAGAGACCCATAGCCTCGCACAGAGACCCATAGACTCACATAGAGACCCATAGATTCACACAGAGACACATAGACTCACACATACACCCATAGACTCACTCAGAGACCCATAGACTCACACAGCAGAGACCCATAGACTCACACAGAGACCCATAGACTCACACAGAGACCCATAGACTCACACAGAGACCCATAGACTCACACAGAGACCCAAAGACTCATACAGAGACCCATAGACTCACACAGAGTCCCATAGCCTCTCACATACACACATAGACTCACACAGAGACCCATAGACTAACACATACACCCATAGACTCACACAGAGACCCATAGACTCACACAGAGACCCATAGACTCACACAGAGACCCATAGACTCACACAGAGACCCATAGCGTCTCACATACACACATAGACTCACACAGATACCCATAGACTAACACATACACCCATAGACTCACACAGAGACCCATAGACTCACACAGAGACCCATAGCCTCTCACATACACACATAGACTCACACAGAGACCCATAGACTAACACATACACCCATAGACTCACACAGAGACCCATAGACTCACACAGAGACCCGTAGACTCACATAGAGACCCATAGACTCACACAGAGACCCATGGCCTCTCGCATACACAAATAGACTCACACAGAGACCCATAGACTCACACAGAGACCCATAGACTCAAACAGAGACCCATAGACTCACACAGAGACCCATAGACTCTCACATACACCCATAGACTCACTCAGAGACCCATAGACTCACACAGCAGAGACCCATAGACTCACACAGAGACCCATAGACTCACACAGAGACCCATAGTCTCTCACATACACACATAGACTCACACAGAGACCCATAGACTAACACATACACCCATAGACTCACACAGAGACCCATAGACTCACACAGAGACCATAAACTCACACAGAGACCCATAGACTCACACAGAGATCCATAGCCTCTCACATACACACATAGACTCACACAGAGAACCATAGACTCACACAAAGAACCATAGACTCACACAGAGACCCATAGACTCACACAGAGACCCATAGCCTCTCACATACACACATACACTCACACAGAGACCCATAGACTCACACAGAGACCCATAGACTCACACATTCACACATAGACTCACACAGAGACCCACAGATTCAAACAGAGACTCTTAGACTCACTCAGAGGCCCATAGACTCACACAGAGACCCATAGATCCACACAGAGACCCATAGACTCACACAGAGACCCATAGCCTCACACAGAGACCCATAGCCTCGCACAGAGACCCATAGACTCACATAGAGACCCATAGATTCACACAGAGACACATAGACTCACACATACACCCATAGACTCACTCAGAGACCCATAGACTCACACAGCAGAGACCCATAGACTCACACAGAGACCCATAGACTCACACAGAGACCCATAGCCTCTCACATACACACATAGACTCACACAGAGAACCATAGACTCACACAGAGAACCATAGACTCACACAGAGAACCATAGACTTACACAGAGACCCATAGACTCACACAGAGACCCATAGACTCACACAGAGACCCATAGACTCAAACAGAGACCCATAGACTCACACAGAGACCCATAGACTCTCACATACACCCATAGACTCACTCAGAGACCCATAGACTCACACAGCAGAGACCCATAGACTCACACAGAGACCCATAGACTCACACAGAGACCCATAGCCTCTCACATACACACATAGACTCACACAGAGACCCATAGACTAACACATACACCCATAGACTCACACAGAGACCCATAGACTCACACAGAGACCATAAACTCACACAAAGACCCATAGACTCTCACATACACCCATAGACTCACGCAGAGACCCATAGACTCACACAGAGACCCATAGACTTACACAGAGACCCATAAACTCACACAAAGACCCATAGACTCACACAGAGACCCATAGCCTCTCACATACACACATAGACTCACACAGAGAACCATAGACTCACACAGAGAACCATAGACTCACACAGAGACCCATAGACTCACACAGAGACCCATAGCCTCTCACATACACACATACACTCACACAGAGACCCATAGACTCACACAGAGACCCATAGACTCACACATTCACACATAGACTCACACAGAGACCCACAGATTCAAACAGAGACTTTTAGACTCACTCAGAGGCCCATAGACTCACACAGAGACCCATAGATCCACACAGAGACCCATAGACTCACACAGAGACCCATAGCCTCACACAGAGACCCATAGACTCGCACAGAGACCCATAAACTCACATAGAGACCCATAGATTCACACAGAGACACATAGACTCACACATACACACATAGACTGACACAGAGACCCATGGACTAACACATGCACCCATAGACTCACACAGAGACCCATAGCCTCACACAGAGACCCATAGACTCACACAGAGACCCATGACGGTGTGAGTGTATGCTTTATACTGTGTACAGTGAGGGAAAAAAATATTTGATCCCCTGCTGATTTTGTACGTTTGCAGACTGGTTTATTTCAACAGTTAGAGACAGAATAACAACAAGAAAATCCAGACAACCGCGTGTCAAAAATGTTTTAAATTGATTTGCATTTTAATGAGGGAAATAAGTATTTGACCCCTATGCAAAACATGACTTAGTACTTGGTGGCAAAATCCTTGTTGGCAATCACAGAGTTCAGACGTTTCTTGTAGTTGGCCACCAGGTTTGCACACCTCTCAGGAGGGATTTTGTCCCACTCCTCTTTGCAGATCTTCTCCTAGTCATTAAGGCTTCGAGGCTGACGTTTGGCAACTCGAACCTGCAGCTCCCTCCACAGATTTTCTATGGGATTAAGGTCTGGAGACTGGCTAGGCCACTCCAGGACCTTAATGTGCTTCTTCTTGAGCCACTCCTTTGTTGCCTTGGCCATGTGTTTTGGGTCATTGTCATGCTGGAATACCCATCCACGACCCATTTTCAATGCCCTGGCTGAGGGAAGGAGGTCCTCACCCAAGATTTGACGGTACATGGCCCCGTCCATCGTCCCTTTGATGCGGTGAAGTTGTCCTGTCCCCTTAGCAGAAAAACACCCCCAAAGCATACTGTTTCCACCTCCATGTTTGACGGTGGGGATGGTGTTCTTGGGGTCATAGGCAGCATTCCTCCTCCTCCAAACACGGCGAGTTGAGTTGATGCCAAAGAGCTCCATTTTGGTCTCATCTGACCACAACACTTTCACCCAGTTGTCCTCTGAATCATTCAGATGTTCATTGGCAAACTTCAGACAGGCATGTATATGTGCTTTCTTGAGCATGGGGACCTTGCGGGCACTTCAGGATTTCAGTCCTTCACGGCGTAGTGTGTTACCAATTGTTTTCTTGGTGACTATGGTCCCAGCTGCCTTGAGGTTATTGACAAGATCCTCCCGTGTAGTCCTGGGCTGATTCCTCACCGTTGTCATTATCATTGCAACTCTACGAGGTGAGATCTTGCATGGAGCCCCAGGCCGAGGGAGATTGACAGTTCTTTTGTGTTTCTTCCATTTGCGAATAATCGCACCAACTGTTGTCACCTTCTCACCAAGCTGCTTGGCAATGGTCTTGTAGCCCATTCCAGCCTTGTGTAGGCCTACAATCTTGTCCCTGACATCCTTGGAGAGCTTTTTGGTCTTGGCCATGGTGGAGAGTTTGGAATCTGATTGATTGATTACTTCTGTGGACAGGTGTCTTTTATACAGGTAACAAGCTGAGATTAGGAGCACTCCCTTTAAGAGTGTGCTCCTAATCTCGGCTCGTTACCTGTATAAAAGACACCTGGGAGCCAGAAATCTTTCTGATTGAGAGGGGGTCAAATACTTATTCCCCTCATTAAAATGCAAATCAATTCATAACATTTTTGACATGCGTTTTTTTTCTGGATTTTCTTGTTATTCTGTCTCTCACTGTTCAAATAAGCCTAAATTAAAATTATAGACTGATCATTTCTTTGTCAATGGGCAAACGTACAAAATCAGCAGGGGATCAAATACTTTTTTCCCTCACTGTATGTGTGTGTTGAGTGCATGCTGTGTGTGTGCGTGTGCTGTGTGCGGTGTGACAGGGCTGTGTGTGTGTGCTGTGTGTATACTATGCGTGTGTGTGCGCTATACGCTGTGTGTGTACTGTGTGCATATACTGTGCGTGTGTGTGGTGTGTGTGTGCGCGCTGTGTGTGTCTACTCTGTGTGCGTGTGCTATATGCTGTGTGTATGCTGTGTATGCTCTGTGTGTGTGCGTGTGCTATATGCTGTGTGTATGCTGTGTGTGTGTGCTGTATGCTGTGTGTGTGTGCTGTACGCTGTGTGTGTGTGTGCTGTGTGTATACTGTGCGTGTATGCCGTGCGTGTGTGTTGTGTGTGTGCGCGATATGTTGTGTGTATGCTGTGTATGCTCTGTGTGTGTGCTGTACGCTGTGTGTGTGTGCTGTGCGTGTATGCCGTGCGTGTGTGTCTGTGTGTTGTGTGTGTGTGTGCGCTATATGCTGTGTGTATGCTCTGTGTGTGTGTGTTGTGCGTGTATGCTGTGCGTGTATGCCATGCGTGTGTGTTGTGTGTGTGTGTGCGGTGTGACAGGGCTGCGTCCCCACAATGGCGAGAGCCGTGGTGGTGAACGCCGCTCAGCTCGCCTCCTACTCACAAGCCAAGCAGTTCCTGCTCGACACGGGTAACTGGCAGCAGAGGCTTGCGCAGTCGCCACACACACTCACAATAACACACACACTCACACACACACAATCACACACACTCACACACACACAATCACACACACTCACACATACACACTCACACACACTCACACACACACACTCACACACAGTCACACACACAATCACACACACTCTCACACTCACTCACTCTCACACTCTCACACACTCACAATAACACACACACTCACACACACACTCACACACACACTCACACACAGTCACACTTACAATCACACACACACACTCACACTCTCACACTCACTCACTCTCACACTCTCACACACTCACAATAACACACACACACTCACACACACACTCACACACAGTCACACACACAATCACACACACTCTCACACTCTCACACACTCACAATAACACACACTCACACACACACTCACACACAGTCACACACACAATCACACACACACTCACACACTCACTCACTCTCACACTCTCACACACTCACAATAACACACAAACTCACACACTCACACACACTCACACACAGTCACACACACAATCACACACACACTCTCACACTCACTCACTCTCACACTCTCACACACTCACAATAACACACAAACTCACACACTCACTCTCCCTCACTCACACACACTCACTCTCACACACTCATACTCACACTCTCACACACACACACTCACCCGCTCTCACACACTCACAATAACAACAACAACCGCCATTCGCCACTAAGTGGCGGTGACGTCACCACGACGCTTGTGCCAGGCTATGTGCACCCTGAGGCCACGTGAAGTGTCGAACGCCCGCTGGCAGGAGGTCACGGGGCAGACCCAGGTGCCACGGGTCGACTTACTGAGATGACTGGCTGATGCACCACCTGTGCCCCCTACTGTGCCAACCTGCTGTGCTTTAGCCACCCGGCGCTCCGCTCGTTGTTGTGAGCGTCGCTCCTCCGCCCTCCGTTGTTGTTGGAGGGCGACTACCTCCAACTGCCCAGTAGCATCCTTAACGAGCCTCCTCCACAGAGGCCGATCTTGACACCGCTGGTACCAGTCATCGGCAAGTCCACTCAGCTCCACGTCCTCCTGTACCACATGACTCCATCTCTTCTCTAGCCCGTGCCGCGCCCGTTTAGCCCCCTCGATCCGGCCGAACAAAAGCTGTTTCGGGATTCGGTGGCTGGGCATGCGGGCTACATGACCCAGCCAACGCAGCCTTGCCCGCCGGAGGAGCTCACCGATGGGACCTTGCCTAGATCTTTCAAGGATTTGTGAGCTCCTCACACAATCCAGCCTGGTTAAACCCAGGATGGATCGTAGGCAGGCCAGCCTAAATGTTTCTAACCGGCGAAGATGTTCCATTAGGGGGGCCCACATTTCGCAAGCGTAGAGAAGGGAGGGAATGACCGTGGCCGAGAAGACCTGAAGCTTTGTGCGGTGCGACAGACCAGGTAGCTTCCACTAAGCGTTACGCAAGCGATTAAAAGATAATGCCACTCGACTGATTCGGAGTGAGACCTCTGTTGTCAAACCAGAGCCGGGCATGAGCACACTGCCCAGGTATGGGAAACTCTCCACTTCATAACTCCCCTATCACCAATTGGGAGTTGTGGGGGTGGAGTGTCCGATGGCACAAAATACCCAGGCAGGTGCTTAGTTTTGGTGGGGCTGATGGTAAGTCCCCCCCACCTCTTAGTGGCAAGCTCCAGGTTTAGCAGCAGCGCCTCCAACTCCTCCTCTGAGTGAGCAGCAATTACCAGATCATCGGCATACATAACGTGGTTGAGCAATAGCGCGCCATCCCTTGACCGCACCTGGGCATCGATCAGCCTCCCATTGTATCTGTACCAGCTATTGAAGGCTTCACGAACTATGTGGTCGAAATAGATGTTAAATAATGTGGGAGCCAGAGGACATCCCTGTCGCACCCCAAAGTGTACAGGGAATGGCTCCGACTTCCGGCCACGTAGTTTTACCCGGGGCTGGGAGTGAAGGTCCTTAATGATAGTGAGCAGAGGGTCAGAGACTCTGAAAGCACGAAGAACTACCTAGAGCTCAGGCCTACTAATGGTATCATAGGCCTTGACCAGGTCAATAAAGCAGAGATGTAGGTCTTGTTGGAATCCCCTACACCTCTGCTGTAGCAAACGGACAGAAAATATGGCATCTGTGCAGGACCGCCCTTTCCTGAAACCGCATTGGGGCTCCGCAAGCCTCTCCTCAGCGTGCCTGGCGAGGCGATGTTGAATAATCCTTGCCAGGACCTTTCCCGGCACACTGAGGAGTGAGATGCCCCTGTAGTTGTTACAGTCTGTGCGGTCCCCCTTCTTAAAGAGGGGGACCACCAGGGCATCCTTCCAGTCCTGTGAAACCCGTCCAGTGGGTCCAGACTTGTTATGATGTGATGTAGGGCAGTCTGTGCACAAACGCCACCCTCCCTCAGCATTTCGCTTGGGAGATCATCTCTGCCCAGTGCCTTTCCTGGGCTCAGACTCTGGATCGCCTTCAGTACTTCCTCAACAGATGGCACCTCAGCCAGCCACTCACAGGGGGTGACTTCTTCCAATATTTGAGGCACCGCAGCCTCGGCAGGGTCATCCCCACTTTGTCCCACGTTGTTATCCAGGCTGAGGGATGTCCCCTCCCCCAGGACCTCACAGAAATGCTCAGCAAATCTGCAAACCTGTTGCTGGGGGTCGGAGATTGGACCACCGTTCTTCCCCTAATGAGCATTTCTAGCTCGGGGTGAGCAGCAGCTATATAATTTTTTTACCAATATCAAAGTATGAAAAATAAGAAGGACACATTTCTATTTTACGCGATCTAACCCATCAAAAAAAACCTGAATTGTGGATGTTATTGGTCGCGAAAGCCCTTACTCCGTGCTAATCCAGGAGTGTATTCTATAGTAGTGTATAGCAGTGTAGTGTATAGTGTAGTGTATAGTAGTGTTGTGTATAGTAGTGTATAGTGTAGTGTATGGTAGTGTGTAGTGTAGTGTATAGTGTAGTGTATAGTAGTGTAGTGTATAGTGTAGTGTATAGTAGTGTAGTGTATAGTAGTAACATCCACCTGAATTGTGGATGTTATTGGTCGCGAAAGCCCTTACTCCGTGCTAATCCAGGAGTGTAGTCTATAGTAGTGTATAGTGTAGTGTATAGTAGTGTAGTGTATAATGTCGTGTATAGGGTATAGTAGTGTAATGTATAGTGTAGTGTACAGTTGTGTAGTGTATAGTGCAGTGTATAGTAGTGTAGTGTATAGTAGTGTAGTGTATAGTAGTGTATAGTGTATAGTAGTGTATAGTAGTATAGTGTACAGTAGTGTATAGTAGTGTAGTGTATAGTTGTGTATTTGCTCTCCAACACACCGGTGTGCTGTACTCGTAACGAATTAGCACCACGTTCTGTTTACGCAACACTAAACCTTACTAATTGGCTGTGTGGTTGGGTGATGGAGGGCTTCATGACACGTATATTTACACGATCTAACCCAACAAAAAGGCCTGTATTGTGGATGATATTGCTCGCGAAAGCCCTTACTACGTGTTTAACTGATTGCGATTCACTGTCTGCGATGTCCATGTGGTGTGTGTCCCCCCCCCCTCCCCCCTCCGCCCCCCCAAGGATACGTGAATGACAACATTGTGTGCCACTTCTGGGCAAGCATGCTGAGCGGCCTTGTCACCACGGCTGCCTCCATGCCGGTCGACATTGTCAAGACCAGGTACGACGACGATGATGATGGTGACGTTGACGACGATGACTTTAATCATACAATAGATCACGATGATGATGATGACGATGATGACTTTAATAATACAATAGATCACGATGATGATGATGACGATGATGACTTTAATAATACAATAGATCACGATGATGATGATGATGACGTTGACGATGATGACTTTAATAATACAATAGATCGCGATGATGATGATGACGTTGACGATGATGACTTTAATAATACAATAGATCATGACGATGATGATGATGACGTTGACGATGATGACTTTAATAATACAATAGATCACGATGATGATGATGATGATGACGTTGACGATGATGACTTTAATAATACAATAGATCACTACGATGATGATGACGTTGACGATGATGACTTTAATAATACAATAGATCACTACGATTATGATGACGATGATGACTTTAATAATACAATAGATAGCGACGATGATGATGACGTTGACGATGACTTTAATAATACAATAGATCACGGCGATGATGATGACGATGGCGATGATGACTTTAATAATACAATAGATCACGATGATGAAGTTGACGATGATGACTTTAATAATACAATAGATCACGACGATGATGATGACCTTGACGATGATGACTTTAATCATACAATAGATCACGATGATGATGATGATGACGTTGACGATGATGACTTTAATAATACAATAGATCACGATGATGATGATGACTTTAATAATACAATAGATCACGATGATGAAGTTGACGATGATGACTTTAATAATACAATAGATCACGACGATGATGATGACCTTGACGATGATGACTTTAATAATACAATAGATCACGACGATGATGATGACCTTGACGATGATGACTTTAATCATACAATAGATCACGATGATGATGATGATGACGTTGACGATGATGACTTTAATAATACAATAGATCACGATGATGATGATGACTTTAATAATACAATAGATCACGATGATGAAGTTGACGATGATGACTTTAATAATACAATAGATCACGACGATGATGATGACCTTGACGATGATGACTTTAATAATACAATAGATCACGACGATGATGATGACGTTGACGATGATGACTTTAATAATACAATAGATCACTACCATGATGATGACTTTAATAATACAATAGATCACGATGATGATGATGACGTTGACGACGATGACTTTATTAATACAATAGATGATGATGATGATGACGTTGACGACGATGACTTTAATAATACAATAGATTGCGACGATGAGGATGACGTTGACGATGATGACTTTAATAATACAATAGATCACGACGATGATGATGACGATGATGACTTTAATAATACAATAGATCACGACGATGATGATGACGTTGACGATGTCTTTAATAATACAATAGATCACGACGATGATGATGATGACGTTGACGACGATGACTTTAATAATACAATAGATCACGACGATGATGATGACGATGATGACTTTAATAATACAATAGATCACTACGATGAGGATGACGATGATGACTTTAATAATACAATAGATCGCGACGATGATGATGACGTTGATGATGACGACTTTAATAATACAATAGATCACTACCATGATGATGATGACGTTGGCGGTGATGACTTTAATAATACAATAGATCACGACGATGATGGTGACGTTGACGATGATGACTTTAATAATACAATAGATCACGACGATGATGATGACGATGATGACTTTAATAATACAATAGATCACGATGATGATGATGATGACGTTGACGATGATGACTTTAATAATACAATAGATCACGATGATGATGATGATGATGACGTTGACGATGATGACTTTAATAATACAATAGATCACTGACGATGATGATGACGTTGACGATGATGACTTTAATAATACAATAGATCACGACGATGAGGATGATGTTGACGATGATGACTTTAATAATACAATAGATCACTACGATGATGATGACGATGATGACTTTAATAATACAATAGATCACGACGATGATGGTGACGTTGACGATGATGACTTTAATAATACAATAGATCACGACGATGATGATGACGATGATGACTTTAATAATACAATAGATCACGATGATGATGATGATGACGTTGACGATGATGACTTTAATAATACAATAGATCACTGACGATGATGATGACGTTGACGATGATGACTTTAATAATACAATAGATCACGACGATGATGATGATGACGTTGACGATGATGACTTTAATAATACAATAGATCGCGACGATGATGATGATGACGTTGACGATGATGACTTTAATAATACAATAGATCACGACGATGATGATGACGTTGACGATGATGACTTTAATAATACAATAGATCGCGACGATGATGATGACGATGATGACTTTAATAATACAATAGATCACGACGATGATGATGATGACAATGACGATGATGATGACTTTAATAATACAATAGATCACGACGATGATGGTGACGTTGACGATGATGACTTTAATAATACAATACATCACGACGATGATGAGGATGACGTTGACGATGACTTTAATAATACAATAGATCACGACGATGATGATGACGTTGATGATGATGACTTTAATAATACAATAGATCACGACGATGATGATGACTTTGACGATGATGACTTTAATAATACAATAGATCACGACGATGAGGATGACGTTGACGATGATGACTTTAATAATACAATAGATCACGACGATTATGATGATGACGATGACGACTTTAATAATACAATAGATCGCGACGATGATGATGACGTTGACGATGATGACTTTAATAATACAATAGATCGCGACGATGATGATGACGTTGACGATGATGACTTTAATAATACAATAGATCACGACGATGAGGATGACGTTGACGATGATGACTTTAATAATACAATAGATCACTGACGATGATGATGACGTTGACGATGATGACTTTAATAATACAATAGATCGCGACGATGATGATGGCGTTGACGATGATGACTTTAATAATACAATAGATCACGATGATGATGATGGCGATGATGACTTTAATAATACAATAGATCACGATGATGATGGTGACGTTGGCGATGATGACTTTAATAATACAATAGATCACGACGATGATGATTACGTTGACGATGATGACTTTAATAATACAATAGATCGCGACGATGATGATGACGTTGACGATGATGACTTTAATAATACAATAGATCACTACGATGATGATGACGATGATGACTTTAATAATACAATAGATCACGACGATGATGATGACGTTGACGATGATGACTTTAATAATACAATAGATCACGACGATGATGATGACGTTGACGATGATGACTTTAATAATACAATAGATCACAGCGATGAGGATGACGATGATGACTTTAATAATACAATAGATCCCGACGTTTCGATCGCAACACAACAAGCGGTCGTCCTCAGGCGGAAAAAATAACCCAGCTGTGGAACTTCTGAACCAGCGAGAGAGCTGTTACAACAACAAGACTTTATATATATACGTTGGCGATGGGCAAGCAGGCGGGGTCTGAGCTGGAAAGGAATTCCATCCCCGCACGCAAGCGCGTCAGTTGTGTTAATGGGGGAGATTAGGGAGAGAGAGAGATTAGGGAGAGAGATTAGCATGAAATGAGCTTCCGTCGCCGCATAAGAGTATCATGCCCGCATATGCGCACAACAGCAGTGTTAATGAGAGATTAGCACGATGAGAGGTGCAATCCAAAGGACATGCGAGCATGAGAGTGTAATCCAAATGACATGTGAGCATGAGAGTGTAATCTAAAAGACATGTGAGCATGAGAGGTGCAATCCAAAGGACATGTGGGCATGAGAGTGCAATCCAAAGGACATGTGAGCATGAGAGTGTAATCTAAAAGACATGTGAGTATGAGAGTGTAACCCAAAGGACATGTGAACATGAGAGTGTAATCCAAGTGACATGTGAACATGAGAGTGTAATCCTAGTGACATGCGAGTATGAGAGTGTAATCCAAGTGACATGTGAGCGTGAGAGTGCAATCCAAAGGTCATGTGAGCATGAGAGTGTAATCCAAAGGTCATGTGGGCATGAGAGTCTAATCCTAGTGACATGTGAGCATGAGAGTGTAATCCTAGTGACATGTGAGTATGGGAGTGTAATCCTAGTGACATGTGAGCATGAGAGTGTAATCCAATGGACATGTGAGTATGAGAGTGTAATCCAAAGGACATGTGAGTATGAGAGTGTAATCCAAAGGTCATGTGAGCATTGGAGTGTAATCCAAAGGACATGTGAGCATGGGAGTGTAACCCAAAGGTCATGTGGGCATGAGAGTGTAACCCAAAGGACATGTGAGCATTGGAGTGTAATCCAAAGGGCATGTGAGCATGAGAGTGTGATCCACAGGACATGTGAGCATGAGAGTGTAATCCAAAGCACATGTGAGCATGGGAGTGTAACCCAAAGGACATGTGAGCATTGGAGTGTAATCCAAAGGGCATGTGAGCATGAGAGTGTAATCCAAGAGATCGGCTGTAGGGGGGAGAGAGAAGGGGGCGGGGGGAGAGAGGGGGGGTGGGGAAGGGGGGGGGCAGAAAGTGGAACTTTGTTATTCTGTCTCTCACTGTTCAAATAAACCTACCATTAAAATTATAGACTGATCATTTCTTTGTCAGTGGGCAAACGTACAAAATCAGCAGGGGATCAAATACTCTTTTTTTTTCTCTCGCTGTACATCGAAACTGACAAGCAAATCATCTGGAGACAGTGAGCTGTCCTTGATTAGAGAAACCAAGTGAGCTGAGTTAAGTACAGCTGAGGTGGTCTTGCCCGTGAAAGGAGGCAGGGTCTCAGACAAATCGGGTCAGTTTGTAGGTGGGTGAGTTAATGGTGGAGACGATAGGACGGAGCGGGGTACCTTCTTTGTGGATTTTTGGAAGGCCATAAAATCTGGGTGGTCTAGCAGCCGAAGGTTGGTCTGATCGATTAGAGAAGTCAAATTAGTGATGATATTGTTAGTTTTTGTGGCTAGGCGCTTGGTGGGATGTCTGTTTATTTTGGCGTCGCTGCCATCATTAAGAAGGTCCTGAATTTTGTTGTTGTAAGTGGTTTTATCCATGATGACAGTGGCATTGCCCTTGTCGGCTGAGAGGATGACAATGTCATCTCTTGTTTTTTTTCATTTAGAGAGTTCAAAACGCTCGTCCTTGCTGATGTCGCTAATGGGTTTCTTAGCGTTTTTGAGGATAGCAGCGATTTCAGATCTTTGAGTGCCACGTCGACCTGGGCAATGATTGGTTGACATTGAAGTAGCAGAGGAAACTGTAATGTTATCTACATGGGCCCAATCAGAAAGTGGACATTTTATCTGTTAATTGTGTGCGTACACTGCTAGTGTGTGTCTGTACACTCTGCGTGTGTGTGTGTGTACACTGCGTGTGTCTACTGTGTGTGTGTGTAGACTGTGGGGAGCAGTAATGCAGTGGTTAGCGCTACGAACCCGGTAGCCCGAGTTTGATTCCCGCTCACGGCCACCAGCACTCAGTGATAGCGATTAGCTGAACCCGGCCCTGGGCCTCCCCTAAGTCGACTCGGCCCCAAATGAGTACCTGGTGCGGTGTAGTGTAGTAAACATCGGGAGAGACAAAGGTGGCCGGGCGTGGTGCTGGCCACCGACCCCGTCATGTGCCACAGTGCCGGCCTTCATAGGTGCTGCTTCCTTCTAACAGCGCTTGCCCCGGCAGTCTGTTGTCTGTTACAGGCTACACGGGGGATCTTTGCCTTTGGGGGGCGGTGAGCTGTTGGGTTAGCGGGCGAGTGACGTTACCACTCCCGCTCCGTGCTGCGTGACTTGTCGTGAGGGCCTCCGCTCGTGTGGCCACTGGCGGAGTGCGGTGCGGCTGTGGTGCGGCTGTGGTGCGGCTGTGGTGCGGCTGTGGTGCGGCTGTGGTGCGGCTGTGGTGAGGTGCGTTCGTGGCCACTGTCGGAGTTTGCTGTGATGCAGTGTGGTGCGGTATGCAGTGGTGTGGTGTGATGTATAGCGGTGTGGTGCTGTGTAGCCTGGTGCTGTGTAGCCTGGTGCGGCGTGGTGCAGGTGTGGTGCAGTGCGGTGGAGTGCATTGTTGTGCGATGTGGTGCAGTGTGGTGCGATGTTGCCGTCTGCACAGCCCCTCCCATACGTGACGCTCTCTCCCTCTCTCTCGGTGTCCTCCTGCCCCACCTCTCCCCACCCCCCCCCCCTTCTTCTGCAGGGTACAGAACATGCGCATGATCGACGGCAAACCCGAGTACAAGAACGGCCTGGTAAATGCGCTCACACCTCCAGCCCCCAGTGACCACAGCAACCACACAGCCTTCGCACAACAAACTAACGTACAGTGAGGGGAAAAAAGTATTTGATCCCCTGCTGATTTTGTACGTTTGCCCACTGACGAAGAAATGATCAGTCTATAATTTTAATGGTAGGTTTATTTGAACAGTGAGAGACAGAATAACAACAAAGAAATCCAGAAAAACGCATGTCAAAAATGTTATGAGGGAAATAAGTATTTGACCCCTCTGCAAAACATGACTTAGTAGGCTCTCACATACACACATAGACTCACACAGAGACCCATAGACTCGCACATAGACCCAGAGACTCACACAGAGACCCATAGACTCACACAGAGACCCATAGACTCACACATACACACATAGACTCACACAGAGACCCACAGACTCAAACAGAGACTCTTAGACTCACGCAAAGACCCATAGACTCACACAGAGACCCATAGACTCACACATACACACATAGACTCACACAGAGACCCACAGACTCAAACAGAGACTCTTAGACTCACGCAAAGACCCATAGACTCGCACAGAGACCCATAGACTCACACAGAGACCCATAGACTCACACAGAGACCCATAGACTCACACATACACCCATAGACTCACACAGAGACTCATAGCCTCTCACATACACACATAGACTGACACAGAGACCCATAGACTAACACATACACCCATAGACTCACACAGAGACCCATAGCCTCACACAGAGACCCATAGACTCACTAGAGACCCATAGACTCACACAAACACCCTTAGACTCACACAGAGACCCATAGACTTACACAGAGACCCATAGACTCACACAGAGACCCATGACGGTGTGAGTGTTTGCTTTATACTGTGTACAGTGAGGGAAAAAAGTATTTGATCCCCTGCTGATTTTGTCTATAATTTTAATGGTAGGTTTATTTGAACAGTGAGAGACAGAATAACAACAAAGAAATCCAGAAAAAACGCATGTCAAAAATGTTATGAAGGAAATAAGTATTTGACCCCTCTGCAAAACATGACTTAGTAGCCTCTCACATACACACATAGACTCACACAGAGACCCATAGACTCACACAGAGACCCATAGACTCGCACAGAGACCCATAGACTCACACAGAGACCCATAGACTCACACAGAGACCCAGAGACTCACACAGAGACCCATAGACTCACACAGAGACCCATAGACTCACACATACACCCATAGACTCACACAGAGACCCATAGCCTCTCACATACACACATAGACTGACACAGAGACCCATAGACTAACACATACACCCATAGACTCACACAGAGACCCATAGCCTCACACAGAGACCCATAGACTCACTAGAGACCCATCGACTCACACAAACACCCTAAGACTCACACAGAGACCCATAGACTCACACAGAGACCCATGACGGTGTGAGTGTTTGCTTTATACTGTGTACAGTGAGGGAAAAAAGTATTTGATCCCCTGCTGATTTTGTCTATAATTTTAATGCTAGGTTTATTTGAACAGTGAGAGACAGAATAACAACAACAAAATCCAGAAAAACGCGTGTCAAAAATGTAATAAATTGATTTGCATTTTAATGAGGGAAATAAGTATTTGACCCCTCTGCAAAACATGACTTAGTACTTGGTGGCAAAACCCTTGTTGGCAATCACAGAGGTCAGACGTTTCTTGTAGTTGGTCACCAGGTTTGTACACATCTCAGGAGGGATTTTGTCCCACTCCTCTTTGCAGATCTTCTCCAAGTCATTAAGGTTTCGAGGCTGACGTTTGGCAACTCGAACCTTCAGCTCCCTCCACAGATTTTCTATGGGATTAAGGTCTGGAGACTGGCTACAAAATCAGCAGGTGTTCAAATACTTTTTTTCCCTCACTGTAATAGAGGCTTTTGGTTTAGATCGCGTGAAGTATAAACGCTGTGCCATTAAACCCGCCACCACCCGACACAGCCAACCAGTAAGGGTGGCGTCACGTAAACAAAACGTGACAATTAGTGACTTAGTTCAGCACTAACCGGTGTGTGTGTGTGTTGGAGAGTGGGGAGCGATAGTGTAGCGGTTAGCGCGCTGTGCTATGAACCCGGCGACCCGGGTTCGATTCCCGCTCACGGCCAACACCAGTGACGATTATCTGAACCGGTCCCGGGCCTCCCCTAGGTCGACTCAGCCTCAAATGAGTACCTGGTGCGGTGTGTAAACATCGCCACTGGGGAGACAAAGGCGGTCGGGCGTGGTGCTGGCCACCCACCCCCTTGTGTACCGTTCCGGCCTTCATAGGTGCTCGCTAACAGCACTTGCCCCTACAGTCTGTTAAGGCTACACGGGGGATCTTTGTCTTTATCTTTGTTGGAGAGCAAACCCACTACGACATTTACAATCACTAAGGGTTGTGTCACGTAAACACAACCTGACAATTAGTTACAGTGGTACCCCGGAGATTCGAAGTTAATTCGTTCCAGAAGGCCATTCGAACACCGATTTGTTCCAACACCGAATGAATTTTCCCCATAAGAATTAATGTGAACGGCATTAATTGGTTCCAGACACAAGAAATCTGTCATTGTGAAGCATTTCTGCACGAAGTTTACAGTAATTACGTGCATAAAATCACACAAAAAACAAGAAACACAAGAAACATTCTGATTTAAAACTTTCGTGACTGCAGGGATTCATATTCTTGGTTCTTTCGGTAAAGCCGCGTAGAAGGGAAACAACAAAACAATAAAAATATCAAAACAATAAAAATTATCACGGCGTTTCGACTGAAACACAAGCAATCATCATCAGGTGTGAAAACCACAGCAAGAAAATTTGAAAAAAGTGGCGTTTTTTTTTTACGTTAGCACCACGGAGAGCGATTTGCCAATTTGTTCAGATGGACGAGTCCATCTATGTTCGGAAAAGAGGAGGGGGGGAGATGAAAATAATGGATGCGGTCTGAAAGCCACCTAAGCATGAACAATCAATTAAGACCCGAAATGGTTTCTCAAATCCTTCCAATGATTGCTAAGCCAGAATCCATCTTCTCGGTTGAAATTGTCTCTGCGTTTGTATATGCGGATAGCCTCATGAACGAATCTCTCATCGTGTATGGATGAACACCAAAAAACACTAAAATAAAGGAAATTAATGAAAAAGTTAAGGAACGTCGTTTTTGCGGGTAACTGCACTGGGCGAGAGCTTACGCCTTTACTGACCCTCTCGCACGGTAAAACCTTTGTCTGGGGCAAGCATCGTACACGCTGCTGGCCATACTCATCTCAGCCGTGTGCAGGTTCTGTCAAGGCACGATTGCCCCGTTATTCGTTCGGTTTTTCCGGGGCAAAAAAATGTTCAGAAATATCGTTAGTACTTAGTTCGGCACTAACCGGTGAGTGTGTGTGTGTGTGTGTTTGTTGGAGAGTTATCCCACTGCAACATAGCAAGTCACACACACGGCACGAGCGACAGTCTCACACGCACTGATCACAGAGACTTGTGAGAACCACAGTGTGGCATCACAGCATCACCAGTCACACACACACTGAGCATCGAGACTTCAGAGTCACCTTCACCAGCACATCCTGCACAACAACAACAAGTGGCGGTGACGTCACCACGACGCTTGTGCCAGGCCAATGTGCACGTTGAGGCCACGTGAAGTGTCGAAAGCCCCCTGGCAGGAGGTCACGGGGCAGATCCAGGTGCCACGGGTCGACTGACTGAGACGACAGGACTTAGATGTCTAGGTTTGAAGCTTTCGTGACTGCAAGGATCCATACCCTCTGGTTCTATTCGGTAAAGTCACATAGGGAATAAATAAAATAAATAAATTCTATGGTACAGTATATAGATTTTTTAAGTAGTGGTACCCCAAACTTTCGCAGCTCTTAAAATTCCCTTTTCACACCATCGAAGTGTATACCCAGTTGTTGTTAATAGCTCTGCTTATTGACGAATATATTGAGTACATTTATTATATTGATATTATTTAGACTTAGTTTTTTCACATCGGTTTACTGTATGATAGTTGGGTAGTGCAGCCCCTTTGGCGTCCATGTACTAGGTGCCTCTGTGGATGTGTAGGCTTTGACTTTAACATAGCTATTTCTATGACCAGTCACAAGCTAATCACTCAGTTATTTCAATGCTAAATTCTCCTGTTTGATTTGTACTAGGTGCCTCTGTAGATGTGTAGGCTTTGACTTTAACATAGCTATTTCTGTGACCAGCCACAAGCTAATCCCTCAGCTATTTCAATGCTAAATTCTCCTGTTTGATATGTAAACTCCTTTGTCAAGGTGCCTCACTTGTCACCCAGCTTAAAAGACGCTGCGAATCTTAGCGGCGTTCATTGAAGCTCTGTCGTCCCGACAGTTCTGTTCCTTCACCTGAAGAGGGCTACTTGTGTTGTGGCCGAAACGTCGTGATTTTTGTCATTTAATTTTTTTACCTACGTGACTTTACCGAATAGGACCAAAGAGGTAAGGACTTAGAGATGGTGAAGGTGGCTCCCAGGCCTCTGTGCTCACCGTGCGTGTGACCGCGGGATGCCGTGCAGGACGTGCTGTTGAAGGTGGTTCGCAAGGAGGGCTTCTTCAGCCTGTGGAAGGGCTTCACGCCATACTACGCCCGGCTGGGTCCCCACACGGTGCTCACCTTCATCTTCCTGGAGCAGATGAACAAGTTCTACAAGCTCTACTTCCTCTCTTAGAGGGGGAAGCGGGGAGGCGCTCCCCCGCCACCAGCAACGCGCGCACAACCACCAACGAGGAGGTGGGAAGACAAACGCCCCCAACGCTGTCCCTCTTCCCGCGCAGCAGTAACGCAGCAGGACAGAGCCAGCAGCAACGACGCAACTCGACAGCGCAACTCGACAGCGCAACTCGACATCGCAACTCGACATCGCAACTCGACATCGCAACTCGACATCGCAACTCGACAGCGCAACTCGACAGCGCAACTCGACATCGCAACTCGACAGCGCAACTCGACATCGCAACTCGACAGCGCAACTCGACATCGCAACTTGACAACGCAGCAACAACAGCGCAACTCGACGTCGCAACTCGACATCGCAACTCGACGTCGCAACTTGACATCGCAACTTGACATCGCAACTTGACGTCGCAACTTGACATCGCAACTTGACAGCGCAACTCGACATCGCAACTTGACATCGCAACTCGACATCGCAACTCGACATCGCAACTCGACAACACAGCAACAACAGCGCAACTCGACAACGCAACTCGACAGCGCAACTCGACATCGCAACTCGACAGCACAGCAACGACAACGCAGCTCGACTCGAGCTGTTCGCACACCAGCGGCGGCGTCAGCCTGTCGGGTTGGAATCGGCAATGACGACGACGATGACGACGATAACGACGACGACGACGACGATGACCTCCACCCCCGCCAAACCCCAGACTCTTGCTTCCAGCATTTAATAATGTTTTAACGAATCCACACAAGCTAAACATTGTATTTACTCCCCCCAACACGTTTGTGCAACAGCTCAGCTCAGTCGAGGGGTAGGGGGCGATTGTTTTTTTTTTGCGAGCCCTCACTCCTGTCCCTCTCTACGGCAGTGGTTCTTAACCTGGGGAGCATCGTGCCCGAATCCCTGGTGGGGGTGGCATGACCTTGGGGTGGCATGACCTGGGGGGGGTGTGTCAGATGCCCTTTCTGGGGGGGAAGGGGAGGGTGGCGAGACACGGGCAGATTTTTTTTCCCCGAAGCTAAATCATCGAAAACGCAAATTAAGGCACGGGCCACGTTAAGTAACAACGCCTTAGTTTCATCCAACCCTATGTGTTTGTTAACATTATTACATTTATATTCTTGGTCCTTTCGGTAAAGTCACCACGTAGGAGGGAAACAACAAAATAATAAAAATATAAAACAATACAATTCTCGCGACGTTTCGACTGCAACGCGAGCAGCAATCATCATCAGGTGTGAAAAACCACAGCAATAATTTTTTTACCACATTTTCTTTGCTGTGGTTTTCACAACCTGATGATGATGATTGTTGCTTGTGTTGCGGTCGTAAGCGTCGTGAGAATTTTGTTGTTTTATATTTTTATTATTTTATTGTTTCCCTTCTAACGTGGCGGTGACTTTACCGAAAGAACCGAAGAATATGAATCCCTGCAGTCACGAAAGCTTTAAGTCAAAATTATTACTTAACTTATGTTTAAGAACCAAAGGGGAGGGTTGGGGGGGGTGGTGCTGCAGTGAAGGTTATGAACCGCTGGTGTAGGGCGTCTTTTTGGTCTTTTTGGTAACGTCTGCCCGACCGCTGCGTCGATTCAAACTCTCCGCACCGCGTCGCTTAAAACCCCGCGGTGTGACAGCTGCGACCCTCAACTCCGTCACCTGCCCTATATTTGGAGTTTGCTTCTCTCTCTCTCTCTCTCTGTCCGTGATGGTCCACGTGGATTTTGCCTCCAGCTCCAAATTTTCCCACACAGTGATGATGACCACGACGATGACGATGACCACGACGACGACGATGATGATGATGACGACGATGGTGATGATTATAACGACGACGATGATGCTAATGACGACGATGGACCACTTGGTTGAGTCTACCATTTGCGGTGGCTGGGGAGAGAGGGGGTGGGAGGGTGATGGGGTCTCCCTTACCCACAGGTCAAGTAAAATACAAATTAGTTTATTACAAAAAAAATGATAGTTTCGTTCCAAGGTGAGAGCCTTCGTGCTTGGCCGGGCTCGGATGTGCACTAAATACAACAAAGATCCCCCGTGTAGCCTTCACAGACTGTTGGGGGCAAGTGCTGTTAGCGAGCAGCAGCACTGCCTGTGAGGGCCGGCACTGTGGTACACGAGGGGGGTGGGTGGCCAGCACCACGCCCGGCCACCTTTGTCTCCCTCAGTGGTGATGTTTACTACACACCGCTACACCAGGTACTCTTTTTGAGGCTGAGTCGACCTAGGGGAGGCCCAGGACCGGTTTGGATAATCGTCACTGTTGGTGTTGGGCGTGAGCGGGAATCGAAGCGTCGCTAACCGCTGTGCCACCGCTCCCCACGGTGCACACAAACACGTACACACGCGCACACATACATGTCCACACACAGTGTACACATGCACGTACACACGCGTACACATAGTGTACACACACACGTACACACACACGTACACACACGTTCACAGACGTTCACAGACGTACACACACACAGTGTACACACACACACACGTACACACACGTACACACAGTGTACACACACATGCAGTGTACACACACATGCAGTGTACACACACACGGAGTGTACACACACACACAGTGTACACACACACGGAGTGTACACACATGCAGTGTACACACATGCACAGTGTACACAGACACGGAGTGTACACACATGCAGTGTACACACATGCAGTGTACACAGACACGGAGTGTACACACATGTAGTGTACACACATGCACAGTGTACACAGACACGGAGTGTACACACATGCAGTGTACACACATTCAGTCTACACACACACACATGTACACGCGTGGCGTCTGTGGTACCCAGTCCGCATGGCAACTCTGGCGGAATTTTTCGATTTAAAGCTTTCGTGACTGCAAGGATTAATCTTCTTTGGTTCTTTCGGTAAAGTCACCACGTAGAATGAGAATAAAATAATAAATTGATTTAAAAAAAATAACACAATAAAATTCTCACGACGTTTCGGCCACAACACAAGCGGCCTTCATCAGGTGAAGGTGAAGGGCCGCTTGTGTTGTGGCCGAAACGTCGCGATAATTTTATTGTGTTATTTTATTTTATCAATTTATTATTTTATTCTCATTCTACGTGGTGACTTTACCGAAAGAACCAACGAAGATTAACTCTGGCGGATTCCCTGTTAACAGCACAACGGCACCGCTACCGGCAAACCCGCGAGCCGCTTTCTCTCTCTCTCTGCTGCTGCTGCTTTTCAACTCCACAGTGTGGATGGTGTCCGCACGGGGCATGCGTGGCGTTTCTCGATCGTAGCGAAGTCGTCTCTCAGCCCGGTCGCGGAGAACTGCAAACCGCACAAATTCCTGTCGCCTTAAAATTTAACTGATTCTCTTTTCGCTTGTGAGTGTAGCCCCCAGCTCTTTTAGGGTCCACACATTTCTCATTTTGCCACTCGGTCAAGTCTCTTGCAACAGGAATGCAAGTTGTAGCAGAGTTGTATCTTGGCCCGGTCACGGGAAACTGTGCATCTGCTAAACCTGGTGCGTTAAAATGCAACAGGTTCGCTTTTAGCCTGTGAGCATAGCCCCCAGCTCTGAGTTGTCCGCACATTTCTAATTTTCCCACGCGGTGAAGTCTCTTGAAACATAACGCAGGCCGTAGCGGAGTTGTCTCTTGGCCCGGCGACGTTTAACCGCAAACTGCTAAAATCTGCCGCGTTCAAAATGCAACTTGGTTCACTTTTTAGCTGTGAGCGCCGCACGCTGTAGTTTTTGCCACGCACCTCCGATGAGCCCACGGCTGGCTACGTACGGTGGTGCGAAAAGGAGTCCAACGTGCACACTGGCCAAGCATTGCCCATGAAGTCAACACTATCGTGAAATTACTTCGCAGCGTCGGCGCGGGTCTGCATTAGCTCTAGATTATAAGTTACCGTGACCGCATGGATCCATACCCTTTGGTTCTCTCGGTGTAAGTCGCGCAAGGTCCAAAGTAAATCGCGCGACGTTTCGGGTCGCAACACAAGCAGTCGTCATCAGGTGGGACAACCACAGCAAGTAACAATTGCTGAAGCGGGCAAAAAAAGGGCTGCAGTAACAAGAGTCTACATAGGTAAGAGAGGTGGGGGGGGGAGGGGAGGAGGAGCATCTATCTCTTCCCCCCCCCCCCCCTCTCTCTTACCTATGTAGCCTCAGCAATTGTTTCATGCTGTGGTTGTCCCCACCCGATGGCGGACGCTTGGCGTTGCGCCCGAAACGTCGCGATTTAATTGATATTATACCTTGCGTGACTTCGCCGAAAGAGCCAAAGAGCTACGCTGCATTTGGACGCGTTAAAGCGCAACGCGAGGGCCCCTCGCGTCGAGCGATTGAAGAACCCGCGAGCGACATTTAGGCGCGCGGGATGGCAAACCAGAAGGACCCACCCACAACCCGACGTCAAACTTCAGCTTTGCGAAAATACAATTGCGACAACTTGCACATGGCGGTAATAGTGAGAGGATCTCACATCGCGCGTCACGGGAGAGAAACAGAAATATCGTGGCGACCCGAGTGTGGATCCAAGTCGTCCAAAGGGGTTCCGTCTCTGTCTTTCGAAGCGAAACCCTGTGAGCGGAGTGCCTCATGGGTTTGGTGTGGCGGCGGCGGCGGCGGTGGTGTGGTACTGGGTTGTGTGTGTGGCTTGGATCGTTTCCCCTCATTCCCTCCTCTCGGTGAGAGATGGATTGATGGAAGGATGTGAAGTGAGGACCGACAGAAAAATAACCGGTATGTTTTCATCCATAGGAGGTTTTTGTTGTTGTTGTTGGGTTAGATCTCGTTAATATAAAGGCGACGTTAAACCTGTCACCACCAACACAGCCAAATCAGAGTCTGTCAACGTAAAAAAAGTAATATTTAAAAAAAAAAATTAAAAAAACACGCTTTAATGAAATGTACCTTAAGAGTAATGGCAGAACTCCACGACTCCAGGACTTGGCCCCGAAGCTTGCCATAACGTAAGGGGACCCGTGGTGATTTACAGCCAACGTGAGTTGAGCGTAGACAATTAGACCCAAGCCGAAACATAACGTATAAAAAATAATGTTTAAAAATATTTATTTTTAATGATAGAATATAGTATTGTCATCAGTATGACATAAGTATACCAAGATTGCAGTCGATACCACATTGGGAAGTGGGGTAAAGTCGAGTTACAAGATTTGAGGATACGACAACAACAACAACAACAGACGGAGTGAGTTATTTAAAAAACGTGTAAAAATGTGGCGATTAGTTATAGAGTTCAGAACTTGTGTATCTGTGTTGGGGAGTAAACCCACTACAACATTTACAGTTAAGTTTGTCACGTAAAAACAAACTGATAGGCGGCTCACAAGTGACGACATCACCTTTGCTTCCCCGTCTATTTAAGAATGAAACAGGATTTCTCCACAATTCTGGCTGTCGCCCGATGAGGAGGCTGCTTGTAATTACCGTTGTACCTGGTGATTGTAAATGCAGTGGTGTTACGCGCCAACACACCAGTTAGTGTTGAACTACGTAACTAATTCTAGATTTGAAGTTTTCGTGACTGCAGGGATTCATACTCATTGTTTGTTTGTTTTTTCGGTAAAGTCACGTAGATCTAAAATGCATTAAAGCATGACGTTTCGGGCGCAACACAAGCGTCCCTCAT